ATATATTATATATATATATACACACACATATATCCTTTCTCCCAACTTAGAAAAGGGATTATAATACTGCTTTGTAATCTGCTTTTAAAAGTTTCTCAATTCACAAATAACACTTGGTCCTTGTAGAAAGAATTGAAAATGCTAAAAACACACAAATCACCCGTATTTCTCACATGTACTCTATCCTTAGGGAAAGCCACTGCTTACCATTGTTTCACACACACACACTCCTTTTTATGAGAATGGGACACTGAGCCTTATTTTACTGGTTTCTCCAAACCCTTTGCCCACTGGGGAGGGGAGGCCGGGGCGCCTGGCCACAACTGGCGCCGAGGCCAGACCTCTCCCTCCAGACCCTGCGCACAGCAGGTGCCCACACAAGCTTTCCAAAGGGCTTTCCAGGCCTGACCCCCTCTCTGATGCCCGCAGCCCTGTTTGTCTTCTGCACCAAGAGCCGCCGCGCTGAGCGCTACTGGCAGAAGACCCTGCTGCAGATGGAGGAGATGGAGTCTCAGATCCGAGAGGAAATCCGCAAAGGTAGGGGGTGGGGACCGTGCAGGACCACGGGCCTCGGCTTTCCCAGCTGGGGAATGGGTTGGAGATCCACTCACCGCGACCTTCCTGCCACCAGGCTTTGCCGAGCTGCAGACGGACATGACGGATCTGACCAAGGAGCTCAACCGCAGCCAGGGCATCCCGTTCCTGGAGTACAAGCACTTTGTGACCCGCACTTTCTTCCCTAAGGTCAGCCGGTGCCCTTGGCCGCCACCTCAGGGACTCGAGGCTGTGCCGCTCTCGAGGGCACTTTTATGCACGTGGGGAAACTGGGCTAGTGCAGTGTGGGCCCCGTGAGCCGTGCAGATCCACAGGGCCTGCCGGGAGGGGCCCAGGTTCCACCCCTGCTTTCCTTCATTATTCACTTAATGTTGAACTGTCCATGTAGAAGCTGGCTGCCAGCCCCACTCTCCTCCTAGGGGCTCGGCCTACCTCTCCCCTCACTGGGGGGATGAGGGGGGTGAGCAGAGGTGGCCCAAGCGTCATGTGTCCTGCTAGCCTCTCATATCGGGGCCCCTTCCCAGCCAGGCTTCTCTTAGTCTCCACCTACTCTCTTCTTGCACCCTGGACTCTGCCCACCCCTTCCATGCCTTTCTGTTCCTGGCTACTGCCCTGTCCCCACTTTCCCTGGCTTGCCCAGAGCATTTGTGCTGATGGCCAATGCCCTCCTCTTGCCCTGGTCACACCATGCAGCAGCCTCTCTGCCTCAGTTTCCCTTATTCCACCCTCAGCTGCTTTTGTTTTAAGCCTGTGCCCTCTTGCACTGCCACAGCTTGGCGCCTGCTGGTTCCACTCTTTTTCCTCCAGGAAGCCCCCAGGGACACCCCTCCCCACTCCTCTGGAATCCTGTGACTCCGTGGTCGCGGCCCATTGCCTTGTCTTTCTCTGTAAAGTGTCCCTTTGCCTTTGTTGAGCGTCCCTGCATGCCAGTCAGGGGAGTCTAGCCCTGCTGAGGTGCTGGGTCTGCCTCCACAGTGTTCCTCCCTCTATGAAGAGCGTTACATACTGCCCTCCCAGACCCTCAACTCCCAGGGCAGCTCCCCGGTGCAAGAGACACACCCGCTGCTGGGAGAGTGGAAGGTGAGTACCCTCGACCCCAGCTCACACACACTGGGCCGCCCCGGCCGCCCAGTCCCTGTCAGGCTCCACTTTCCAGCTCATCGGGTCCATTGATCCAAATCACAGGGGAGCGGGTGTGTGTGTGTGTGTGTGTGTGTGGGGGGGTAATCTGCCATTGGAAGGTAGTGAGCGCTTCGTCCCAGGAGGCATTGAACCAGCCTCTCAGGGTGTTATAAGTGTTGACCTCTGGCCAGGTAGAGAGGGGAGAGGACTGGGCCTCCCTAGACATCCCACTCTGCCCGCGCCTTAGAGGACAGTTGAGAGGGTCCCTCATGGGGATGCTGGGTTACCTCCAGGCACTCCTGTCCTTCTTTGTGCCCCACTTTTCAATCCAACTGAGCCATTGTTCCCAGTCATGGGGCGTTAGGAGGCATCCACCATGAAAAGGTAGTGAGCTCCCCATCCCAGGAGGCATTCAAGGAGCCATTCGGGGAGTTATAAGTGCTGACCCCTCAGCCAGGCAGAGGCACTGGTCCCCTCACCGATTGCTTCTGCAGATCCCCGAGAGCTGCCGGCCCAACATGGAAGAGGGGATCAGCCTGTTCTCCTCGCTGCTCAACAACAAGCACTTCCTCATCGTCTTTGTCCATGCCCTGGAGCAGCAGAAGGACTTCGCAGTGCGGGACAGGTGAGGCTGCGAGGCTCTGGGGCGAGGCTGTGTCTGAGGTCCCACTGGTCCTGGGCCGGCCTGGCTGGACCCTGGGCTCGAAAAGTTTGCAAATCACCATGTCCTCTGGGCAGCTAGCTGGCCTCCACATCAAGGCGGGGGACTGGGGGTTCTGAGACCCCACATCCCTCCCCTTCCCGGGCCTGGATTCCCCCCGCCCAGGCACATCCGTGATAAGGCCGCTGACGCCCGTGCCCACCCACAGGTGCAGCCTGGCCTCCCTGCTGACCATCGCGCTGCATGGCAAGCTCGAGTACTACACCAGCATCATGAAGGAGCTGCTGGTGGACCTCATCGACGCCTCCGCCGCCAAGAACCCCAAACTCATGCTGCGGCGCACGGAGTCCGTGGTGGAGAAGATGCTCACCAACTGGATGTCCATCTGCATGTACAGCTGTCTGAGGGTGAGGCAGGCGTGGGGGCGCCGCCAATACGCAGGGACCACCGTCGCCCAGTCTTCCCGTGGTAGACTGGTCTGTTCGTCCCTCCGCCAGCTCTCCCAGGAGAGTTATCCCATCCTGTGTGCAGAGGAGAGAGGGACTCAGAGGAGGGCAGGGACAGGCCCAGAGGATCCATGATACAGACGGGGACGGAGGCCTGGCTTCCTGCGAGGCTCAGAGCCCGCCGGGGCAGAACGGAGGCCACGTCAGGGAGCTTGTCCTCCATCATCAAACCCTCGCAGCCACGGGAGCGCGCCCAGCGTTAGGGGAGAGAGATGTGGAAACATTAAAATTCAGCAAAGCTCCACCACTGAGGCTTCTGACTGGGCTGGGGGGCTCCAGGAGGCGGCCTGAGTAAGGGCGAGAGTAGGAATGAGCCAGGTAACGAACTGGGTGGGGAGGCTGTCCCAGGTTTTGGTGACAGCGTGGGCAACTGACTGTTTCTGAAAGGGACTGAAGGAAGGCGGTGAGTCTTTCTGACGAGATAAGGCTGGGAAGTCCAGTGAGGCCAGCTGGTCAGGCCCGCCTGCATTCTGCCAAAGGGACCCCTAAATTAGGGCTTTTCTTCCAAGGCCAGGAAGTCATCTGGGGGTCACAGGAGAAAGGCAAGGGGCTGACGGAAGCCCAGAACCAGGGCCTCAGATGTCCTGGGTTTGAGTCCAATCTATGTGCGACCTTGAAACAGGCATCGACCTCTCTCTGTCTTGGTTTCTCTCTGTCATGTGGGCCATGCCCCTGGGCTTGGGGCTCCTGAAGGCAGGCAGCCTGGAGGAGCCCTGTGGAGGGAAGGGGAAGGGGGATGGAGCAGAGGAGGTTGGGCCTAGGACGGGGCCATCACACAGCCCCTGGAGGCTCTCCCAGTGTTACTGTCTTGGCATTGGTCTGCACCGACTGCCACAGGGCCCGTAGGGGCTGCAGTGGACTCTGGACTCAGCTCCCAAGGCCTCTTTGTGTGACTTCCCTTCCAAGCCTTTGTTTCCTACTCCAGAAAATGGGGCGTCAGTGGCTCCCAGCACCAGACCTGAAGAATTAGATCAGGACTAAGAGTGGGCATGCTTGCCCTGGCTGGTGTTCTCAGTGGTTAGAGCACCGGCCCACGCAGCAAAGGGTTTCGGGTTCAGTTCCCAAGGCAACCAGTTGATATGACAACAATGTTTCTCTCTCTCTCTCCCTCTCCCTCTCTCTCTCTCTCTCTCTCTCTCTCTCTCTCTCTCTCTCCTCTCTGTCCCTTTCACTTTCTCTAAACATCAGTGGAAAAAATATCCTCGGGTGAAGAGTAACAAAAAAAAAAAAAAAGAGTTGGCATGCTATCTTCATCATCTTGCCAAATCTGCCTAACGCTATTATGTACTTAATTTTGTCCTTAAATCAGCTTACCATTTTACCTAAATATCTGTCATCAGTGTAATACCTGATCACTTGCTATAAAATGACCATGAAAATCAGCTCATGGCTGTGGATAGCAGCCAAGTCCCTTTCTGGCTGTGAACGTTATGACAGGGAAACAGGGGGCGGGGGGGAGGCGGCGAGGGCAGGAGAGTCCAGTGAAGCCACTCACGGCGCCGTGATTTAGGTGGGGACCACCCGAACTCACCTTGGGAGTCAGCCAATCCAGCGCCCAAGTCCAGCTCTGCCTCTTCCTGCTGGGGGGTCCTGGGCTGGTTACTCGCTCTCTCAGCAGAGGCAGTGAGGAGGAGATCTGGAAGGATTGTTGGGAGGATGAAATGAATGAGCCTGCCCGCAGCCACGGGTATTGGACCTTAGAGTCCATGGAGACTTCAGGGGGCTGGGGGATCGGCACCAGGATCCAAAAGGATATTAAACAGGCAGCCATGAAGGTGTTGGTGGAAGTGGGTGGTGAAGGTGCCCCGGAGACCTGGGAGCTGGAATATGGAGGGAGGGCAGGGAGGCAGTGGGGGCCAGGCAGTCTGGGCCTCGGCCCCTGACGGCCCCTGTCCACCCCAGGAGACGGTCGGAGAGCCGTTCTTCCTGCTCCTGTGCGCCATCAAGCAGCAGATCAACAAGGGCTCCATTGATGCCATCACAGGCAAGGCCCGCTACACGCTCAATGAGGAGTGGCTGCTACGGGAGAACATTGAGGCCAAGCCCCGGGTGAGCCGGGGTGCGGTGGGGCAAGGGCAACTGGGAAGCAAGGGGGGACCATCTCCTGAACTGGCTGGGCGGGGTCCCCACATGCCTGGGGGCTACGATCTTGCCCAGCCTCTGGGAGGCTGTCGCCTGCCTGGGCCCAGGGCAGTGACGGTGAGGACCTGCTGACCTTCCCTTCCTCCTCTCGTGCAGAACCTGAACGTGTCCTTCCAGGGCTGCGGCATGGACTCGCTGAGCGTGCGGGCCATGGACACCGACACGCTGACGCAGGTGAAGGAGAAGATCCTGGAGGCCTTCTGCAAGAACGTGCCCTACTCCCAGTGGCCTCGCGCAGAGGACGTCGACCTCGGTGGGCGGTGGGGGGCGGCACCACTTGGCGTTGGGCTGTTTTGGTGGGAGCCAGCCCTGCCTTCGTCATACACTCCTTTCACTTGGCAAAGGGCACAGACTTTGGCATTGGGGACATGGAGATGGTCAGAGGAAGTGTAACCCTACTGGGGATCGAGCCCACAACCCCGGGCATGGGCCCTTGACCGGGAATCCAACTGGCAAATGCCTGATGCACGGGACAACGCCCACTGGAGCCGCACCAGCCAGGGCTGGGGGTCCCTTTTTTTATTTCATCGGCAGTAATAACAGTAACAACCCTGAGGATACGGGCATTTCCAGAGCTTCTGCTCTGTTCCTACCGGGGATCGAGCACGGCCCCGGCCTCCCCGCACCCTGGTCCCGTTTTCTCCCCACACCCTGTTTACAGAGGTGGGAAAGGAGGCTCAGAGAGAAACATGGCACGCCCCAGGTTTCACAGAGAGCAAGCAGCCTCTCCCCGTGTGGCCCTGCCCCTGACCCCCTGCTCCCTGCCTCCAGAGTGGTTCGCCTCGAGCACGCAGAGCTACATCCTCCGGGACCTGGACGACACCTCAGTGGTGGAGGATGGCCGCAAGAAGCTCAACACGCTGGCCCACTACAAGGTGGGCTCCCAGCCCCACCCAGCCCCCCCTTGCAGCCTCCCTAACCTGACCTCTGACCTCAGCCTCTCCCCTCCTGGCAGATCCCCGAAGGTGCCTCGCTGGCCATGAGCCTCACAGACAAGAAGGACAACACGCTGGGCCGAGGTAGCACCGCTGGGCATGGGCGGGTGGCTCGGGCCCCTTCCGAGCAGTCCCCGTGGGAAAGCTGAGGCTTCACGAGGCTGGGCCGGGCTGTGGCCTCCCTGGTCGGGGCCGGGGCCAAGCCAGACCCCTCTGACCCAGGACTGCTTGGCAGGGCCTGTGACCAGGCCTCTCAGGCCGACCTCCTGCGGGCAGCCTGGGAGAGGCCTCGGGCGGGCGGGACGTGGTTCCGATGGGTCTGGGCAGCTGCCAGGCCAGAGGGGTGGCTGGCATGGCCCTCGAGGCTTTGGGTTGTGTGTCTGCCTCAAATCCCACCGTCCACACCCTCAGACGCCCCAGGCCTCGTGCTTCTGGGTCTCAGGGTTCCCTCTGAGGTCGGGAGCAGGATCTTGGTTCTCTCCCAGCAGCTTGTGAGGTCGGGTCGGGGAGGGATTGAGGGCAGCCTCCCTCCTGCCTGGGGCCTCTCCTCTCCCTGTGTGACCCCGTCTGTTCCTCTCCATCTCCCTCCGTTTCTCCTCTCACCTGCACGTGTCTTTCTCTTAATGCCTCTGCCTTTCTCTGTCTCTTTCTCTGTGTGTCTTTCTGGATCTCTCTCATCTCCTCCTTCACATTTTCCTCCTTGACTCACTGTCTCATGTGTCTCTTTGGAACTCACCCTTTCTCTTGGTTTCCTCTCCATTTCTATTCTCTCTCCCTCCCCTCTCTTGTTTATTTATTGTGTGTTTTTCCTCTCGCAGTGAAAGACTTGGACACCGAGAAGTATTTCCATTTGGTGAGTGCCCGGCCCCTGGCCCTGGGGCTCCCGCCCCTCACTGGGTGTGGACTTGGCTTCCTGCCGCCTTGGTCCTCTGGGGAGAATGCTCCCTGGCTCTGGGAAAGGCTGGGGGTGGGGAGTGGAGATGGGATCCAGAATCAGCAGAGAACCAAGTGCCTCTGGGAGAAGGATGGGACCCCCCCCACCAGGACAGCGGAGGAGGTGCCTGGCCCCGGCACTGACCACCGCTCCGGCCTCCCAGGTGCTGCCCACAGACGAGCTGGCAGAGCCCAAGAAGTCCCACCGGCAGAGCCACCGCAAGAAGGTGCTGCCAGAGATCTACCTGACCCGCCTGCTGTCTACCAAGGTAGGCCCGGCCGCATCTCCTCGCCTCGGAAGGTCAGCTGTGTCCACATGCCTGGGTGGGCGAGAGCTCTTCCTCTGTGGGCCCCCAGGGTGAGAGGCTCAGGGCTTAGGGTCCTGCCTTTGCTCAGAGCCGTGAAAAGTGTCTGACAACTTCTAAATGAGCCAGTGTAACAGAAAGGGCAGAGGGGTCAATGATGTCCCCAAGGTCACAAGGCTTAGGTGGCAGTCCGCACCCCACATACCACCCCCTGGCTCCACTGATTTCCCATGCTACGCCTCAGACTTTTCAGCACCCCTATGAGGGAGGTTTCACTAACCCATTTCACAGGTGAGAAAACTGAGACCCAGAGAGGTTAGTGACCGGCTTGATGCCACATGGCTTCCACATTCACCAGTTCCAGTACCGCAGTCTCCCCGAGCCATCGGGGTCCCTCTTACCCTCTGCATGTGGTTCTGGGCTGATGGCAGCCACCTTGCTCCCCTGCAGGGCACACTACAGAAGTTTCTGGATGACCTGTTCAAGGCCATTCTGAGCATTCGTGAGGACAAGCCCCCTCTGGCCGTCAAGTACTTCTTCGACTTCTTGGAGGAGCAGGCTGAGAAGAGGGGAATCTCAGATCCTGACACCCTGCACATCTGGAAAACCAACAGGTGGGTGGTGGGTATGTGGGGAGGGCTGTGCAGCTCCATGTGTCCCTGGGGGCAGCAATAGTGTGGGGGTCCGAGCCCGGTCTCTCAGTCCACCTGCTTGGGTTCAGTCCCTACGATGCCACATCCCAGCTGTGTGATCTTGGGTAAATGACTTAACCGCTCTGTGCCTTAAGTTTCCCCCAGCTGTAAAACAGGGGCAATAAAAGTAATTCACCTTAATTATAAGAATTAACGGGAAGCCAGCATTATGTAAGTGTTGCCCTTACCATCATCCTCCCTCCGTTCTTCAAGGGCAGGCAGTGTCGGCTCCGTTTTACAGAGGAGAACAGTGAGGCTCACAGAGATATGGCTGCCCAGGATCAGGCAGCCTGTGGGTGGCTCAGGGCAGCGTAATCTTGGCTCCCATACCCAGTCTGCAGCCTTCTTGGGAGGCACGTCTTAGCTTTTTGGGGTCCCAGATCCCAACAAGAAGTTGTTAAAAACTCAGCTGACCCTCAGAAAAAGTGCCACCGGCCCGAAGTTTCTGTGCAGTTGCAGGGGGCTCCTCAGAGCTCTGGGGGTGCATAAGGCCTGGCTGCTGAGTCACTGGGAGGCGCTGCGGTGGGAGGGGGGTGGTTTACCAACCCTCTGGCTCCTGAGGCCAAGGCCTAGGATCCAGGCTCCACCCTCCTTCAGCGCTTGCCTGCTGCTAATCGTGGACTTCCTGCTGCCGTGAGAGGCTAAGGGAGGAGCCATGGGCTGCCAGGCGGGGTGGGGGTGCTTCTAATGAGAACCAGGACCTGGCTTGAGGCTCTCTGGGGGAGGGGAGGGCAGTGAGGGTGGACTCAGGCCCCTCCACCCCAGCCAGGCCTGCAGCTCCTGACTCAGCCTCCTGCCCTGCTCCATGCAGGAACCCTGGCTCTTAGCTGCTCGTAGCCCAGTCAGCAGGCATGGTCATCAACCCCATTTGTGGGTGAGCAAACCCAGGTCTCTAAAGGTTCCATCTTGGGAGTAGGCTACACCAGCTTTGAGGGGTAAAGCCAGCCTGTCCTCTGGGCCTGGCTGCCCTACCCTTGGGGTGGGCTCACGCTGCCTCTATTACCCGCATCCCACAGCCTTCCTCTCCGGTTCTGGGTGAACATCCTGAAAAACCCGCAGTTTGTCTTCGACATCGACAAGACGGACCATATCGACGCCTGCCTCTCGGTCATCGCACAGGCCTTCATTGACGCCTGCTCCATCTCTGACCTTCAGCTGGGCAAGGTCAGCTGCTCCCGGGGGCAGCCTGGGTGCTAGTGATGGGATGGAGGTTTTGCTGGGAGGGGAACTAAAGGAGCTCAGGTCTGGGGGACGCGGGATGAGCAGGGACATTCGGACCGGAGGAGACGCCCAGACACGGCAACTACAGTCAGAAACGGCATCACTAAAGACCAGAGGCACCTGCCGTAGGGGGGCCCGGCATCAGCTCCCGACATTCAGGCCATAGAGCCAGGCCCGGAAGCCAGAGCGAATGTAGGAAACCTGCTTGGTCCAGCACAGAGTCACCTGAGAATCAGCCAGGCTACAGGCAGCAGTCCTGATGGCCACGAGCCCTCTGAGTGGGCACAGGGGAGGGGTGGGCAGAGGCAACAGATGACCCAGACCTGAGGTACACGCAGGAGGGAGCCCCCTGAGGTCTCTGCGGGGAGAGGAGAGAGAGTGGTGTTCCTGGCAGAGGGAACAGCATGGGCAAGCAGGGAGGCGTGCAAGAGTGCTCGCTGCTGTGAGCATCGAGGAGATGGTGTAAGCCAGCGGTTCTCAACCTGTGGGTCGCGACCCCTTTGGAGGTTGAACGACCCTTTCACAGGTGTCGCCTAAGACCATCGGAAAACACATATATAATTACATATTGTTTTTGTGATTAATCACTATGCTTTAATTATGTTCAATTTGTAACAATGAAAATACATCCTGCATATCAGATATTTACATGACGATTCATAACAGTAGCAACATTACAGTTATGAAGTAGCAACGAAAGTAATTTTATGGTTGGGGGTCACCACAACATGAGGAACCGTATTAAAGGGTCGCGGCATTAGGAAGGTTGAGAACCACTGGTAAGCAGACCTCGCCGGGCAGGACGGAGGGTTTGTGGCCCTGCATTTTGCCTGTGACTTTCAGAGATAGGCCACGAGAGAGAGTAAACGCATCACTTCTCCGCACTATCTCGGAAGGCAGGATGCCCGTGACAAAGAACTGGGAGTGCACTTGGCACATTTCACGTTCGGGCGTTGAACACATGTGGTGGGGAATATTCCACTGAGCCAGCCATCAGGCTTCCAGAAATCTTAGCCACCAGGACCTATAACCCGAGGCAAGGATGTAAACAAAACAGCCGCTGTGCAACCGAGAGCTGGCGCAAAGCCCGTGTCCTTTCCCCCTAAAAGAAGTAGATCCCCTTTCAGGTCCTCACCCTGACGGCCCCATAGAAGGCAGGGCAGGGGTGCGGTGTAAAAGGACAGCAGAGGGAGGGGGTGAGGAGCCCCTGGTCTGAAGCTGGCGGAGTGGGGAGCATGGCTCGTCCAGAAAAAGACAAATCCTTTCCTTCTCTTATTCATTCCCTCGCTCTCTCTACCCAGGATTCACCCACCAACAAGCTCCTCTACGCCAAGGAGATCCCCGAGTACCGCAAAATCGTGCAGCGCTACTACAAGCAGATCCACGACATGACGCCGCTCAGCGAGCAGGAGATGAACGCCCACCTGGCCGAGGAGTCGCGGGTGCGGCGGGGCTGTGGGGGGTCTGGAACTTGACCGTCCAGGGAGGGGTTTGCGTACAAGCAGCAGGGCTGGGCCGGGCCCAGGTTTGACAGGTTAACCACCCTTCCCAATGTCCGCCTTCTCTTTGCTTGTAGAAGTACCAGAACGAGTTCAACACCAACGTGGCCATGGCCGAGATTTATAAATACGCCAAGAGGTACCGACCGCAGGTGCGTGCCCCTAGTGTGAGGACTGAGCCTTGCAGCCCCGGCGCCCCCTCCCCATCACACCCCAGAGGCGTCCCCACTCTGGCATTGACATCCCAGGACATGTGTGCTTTAGGGCGGGTCAGCAGCTGTGGAAATCCAGGCTGGGTGTGCTCCCCAAAGACCTGCCCAGGGACCCACTGGGGCCCAGGCCTGTAGCCCCATGGCGCCTCTGCTTCCCCTCAGATCATGACAGCCCTGGAGGCAAACCCCACCGCCCGGCGGACCCAGCTGCAGCACAAGTTTGAGCAGGTGGTGGCTCTGATGGAGGACAACATCTACGAGTGCTACAGCGAGGCCTGAGCCCCCGCCGGAGACCGTGTGGGAAGGGACCAGGCACCGGCCCGTGACCTCCTTGGGTCCCCAGTGCCTCTGACTCCGGCTGGGCCATGACTGAGCAGAGTCACTGGAGAGGGGGAATGAGGAGCCCCCCCGCCCTGGCCCCTGGGGCACCTCTGTCCCCTCCTACTTGTCCCCAGGCCCAGCCTCTGGGATGGGGACTTGGATGACACAGCCCGTCTCTGGTAAGGTTCCCACACCCAACAGCACAGCCTGGACGGTGCCCCGCACGCTGTCACAGCCAGCTGCTAAGAGCCCCGCCCAACTCGGTCCCGCACACGAACAGACAAACACGAGAGACCGCCTGGCCCAGAGGCCGCAGCCAGAAACACTACCTCAGCCTTTCTGACGGAGGGGAGGCCGCCTCGAACCAGCCCGTGATTGGTTCCCGATTTAACCACCAAAGCGTTGTCCAGTCTCCCCTCACCCAGAGAGGACCCTGGCCACACAGTTGCAAGCAGTGTCAGATTTTCGTTGCTTAAGTGGCTACTGGTGGCGTGGGCAGCGCCCACCGCCCGTGGGGAGGCTCCTGGGGCTTTCCCTGAGCCAGGAGGGCGGGAGCCAAGGGGACTGGTGCTGGGCGATCGGGTCTGGGGCAGAGGGGCTAAGTTGCACCAAGGATGTAGCTGGGCTACTTGATCTTGCTGGGAGTATTTCTAAAGATAGCACCACTTTGTTTTTTTAAGAAAGCTTTTCTATATTAAACTTATATGCACCAACTGTGAACAGCTGCCGCTTGTGCAGAAGACCTGGGAGGGCACCGAGGGGCTCCCAACGCAACACTGGAAATGACTGTTCCAGAGGATGGGCAGCTCTGGCACAGACACCCCTCCCCCCGCCCCCCTGAGAAAAATCACGCCTTCTGTTCCCGTTGCAAGTGGCCCTCTGGCTGACCCCCCGCAGCAGACACAGCCAGCCCAGGGCCTGGCCCGGGGGGGTGGTGACCAGGACGCTCTAAATGGAACCTTCTTTATAATAAAAGCCTGATGGGAAGACCTGCTGTGGGCTCCAGCCTTTATCCTGAGATGGCCGAGGAGGGAAAGCAGAGCCTGTGGCGAGAGGCAGGGGCCCTGGCTCAGACCGGCCTCAGCCTGCGGAGGCGGCTGACGGTGACGGGGCAGTGTGGCTGCCTGCTTGCCAGGGGCCTGGCCCGGATGGTCCCTAGGCTCTGAGGGCACCACGGGACCTGCAGGAAGATGTCACGGCTGCTGTGTGCCACCCACCCCTGGTGGGCCCTGCTCCTAACTCACCTTTAGTTAACAGATCCCCGAGGAATGGAACAGTGTCCTCGTGTTACAGGTGCAGAAACAGTGCAGAGGAGGGAGTCCCCCAGGTCGCAGCCAGGGAGCGGCGAGGTGGGGGCACAAGCCAGGGCCCTGGGCCCTCGTTCCTCAGTGCCAGGCTCGGCCAGACCAGCCTCCACAGCAGCCTCCGAATGTGGGGGGTGGTCTGCACTGGAAAAAGCCGACAGTTACACACGCACCCCAAGTTTTTCATCGCTCTTTAAAAAAATGTATCACTGACCCCATTTTTCAGATGAGGAAACAGTTTCGCCCAGGCCAGCAGGGCAGGCTGTTCCTCACCGTGGCCCATGAGGACGGTGAACCTGACTGGAGGCCAGCAAATACCCAGAAACCCCCAGCCCACCCCGCTGACCTCCTGGAGAGGTCACTAGAAAGCAAAGCCACCTCCTAGTTAGAAGCAACTCAGGTTATATTTTTTCCCTTTACGAAAAAAGAAAATAAGCACACACATTTATCAAAGGTAAGAAGTAGGACAGAAAAATTCATACCATTTAAACAAAAATCCTACAAATGCCAGTTTTTAAATTAATGAGAACAGGAAAGTGAAAAGAGAAAAGTAAACAATCTTTAGCTTTAAAAATAGCCTTTTCCTCTGGTAGCTTCTGGGTAGAGAGATTTGTTATCTTTTCAAATTTTCTATTCTGAGCACTGATTCCTGCTTATTAAGCAGCAGATTGCTAATTTAAGTTATTGACACATTTGATAGAAAAAAAATTCTCTGGGTGTGATGCTAGAATTAAATACACTTCCTACAGAAACATCAGGAAGAAAAAAAAGAAGAAAAAAATAAAAGCTACCCCCACCCACCCACGGTTAATATCTCAGAATGCCAAATCACGTACTTGCCTGGGTTGGGGGCACAGGAGTAAAAATCGGGACCAGGGTATACGCACCATTTTGAAACCTGTATTTTCCCCATGCAACAATATGTCAGTAACATCTTTCTATGTCATTAAATATTCCACAGCCTGTTTTAATGCCTAATTAACATGCAATTCCTTCTTGACATTTAGAAATGTATTTGCAAATGGAGGAAATCTCTAGATTCCAGGGTCATTTCTCAGCACAGACGGCGGCCAACGTCTGTGAATCCCCCACCCACAGTCCTTGTCTGGGGCCCCTGGAGACTTGCCTTGCAGGTAGGTACAGGCATCCCTTTGCTCCGAGGGTCCCAGGAGGTGGGCTTTGGCGCAGTGTCGTCATGCAGAGGAGGAGACTTGCCTGAGTTTCCTGGGTGCCAAATGATGTCCGGCCTCTGCCAGGTCAGGGTACTGCCCGGCCCGCACGCAGCTCATGGAGGCGAGATGCGCAGTGGTGCCCTCCTAACTAAGACCCTGCCTGGGTACCTCCCACAGCCCCTGGCCAAGCCATGAAAAGAGCAGAGACAAAAACATACACCACCTTGTGAAGTGCTAGCCTAATCCCCTGCCGCCAGCTCACGGTGCCCCTTGGGATCCTACTGGCAGACACGCCAAGGAAGCTGTTGGCACATCTAGACAACACCTTGTGTGAGATTTGGGGAGGGGAGGATGGGGTAGAGAGAGCAGAGCAAGCCCATGCTGGGCTGCCTCAGTTTCCCTTTGTGTGCCATCTGCTTCCTTCTTAAGCCCCGTCCAGTTTACCCCTGACTCCCTCCAAATTCATCTTTTCTTCTCTGCCCCCAGCCTGGCTTAACTGTCACCCCACATTGGACCATGTCTCAGCAGCCTCCTGACCAAGCCGAGTCCTCACACCAGGGGGTTGGCTGCCATGCAGTCACCTAGCTCAAACTGTGATTCAAATTGGATTCATCCTTGACCCCATTCTACATCCAATCCCTCAGCAAATCCCACCCATCCTGCTTCAACACCTACCCATATCCGCCACTCCTGACCCCTCCCTCCGTAGCCACCTTTCACCATTGAGAAGGACCACTGCAGGGGCCTCCAAACTGGCTTCCTGCTGCTGCCGTGTCCCTCTAAAGTCACTCCGCCACTCACTGTCCTCTAGTGGATCCTTATCACAATGAAAACAAAACCCAAAGTTCTTACCCTGGCTGACAGGGCCCTTGAGGATGGAGCCCTGCAGCCCTTGCTATGGTCATCTACTGCTAAGTAACAAACTACCCCAACACCCCACGGCTTAAACAGCAGCAGTCATTTATGTTGCTCATGCATGTGTGATCGGGGCAGGGCTTAGCTGGGAGCCTTGTCCCTGTTCTATGTGGTGTCAGTTGGAGCAGCTCAACCAGGGCTAGAAGGTTGAAATACAAAACAGCATACTCCTACAGCTGGTCAGGGAATTCAGCAGGGGCTAAAAATTGGGGTGCCTTGGTTCCTCTCCATCAGCTGCTTAGGCTTCCCCACAGCATGGTGGCTGAGTTTAAAGAGCAAGTATCCATTTGAGGAGGTCCAAGATAGCAGCAACATAGGAGAATGCTAATATATATATGTATCTAGAGAACAATTACACCTGCGAGACAACTGTGGGCTGAAGAAACTGCTTCTGAACAACAAGAGAGAGACAATGGAGAAGGCCAGGAAGCTTTGGGAACTCTCAGGGGGCAGGAGCTGCTGGTGCCATTTCCATAGACAGGGTAGTGGGAGCTCTACTCTGGCTGCCTGTGCTGCGTCCTACCTGCAGGATCTACAAGGCCCGGAGCCTTCTGTGTCTGCACAAAGGGAGCGAGCAGGAACAACAAGGTGTCACCACACACCTCTGTCTCCTTTCCAGGAGCTGCTTTAGCCAGTGCCCCAGGCACTACCAGCACCTGCCTGGCTCCAACCAGCTTCTTAAACTGCCTGACACATAAAACCCACACAGAGGTGGCTTCTAAGCAAGACCACTAGAAGGCTGGGGGGTCGTAGGAGCTCTCTGGGGGCTGCGGGGTTTCTCTGGGGTTGGAGGTGCCAGTGAACTCCCTTGTTTACATCTCATTCCACTTCCGGCTGGTCAGGGCTCTAGCCAGGTGCTCTGGCCTACCTGCAAGGTCACTGCAGCATGTTCCCAGACACATTGCCCAAGACAATTATGGTGCCAAAGAAAGCAAACAGGATCAGTAGAGCATTACTATACACATCTGGCCTCCCCAACTAAAGCTGCCCCAGCTCAGGAGGCCAGTGCCCCAGATGACTGTGACCTGCTCAGCTCCTTCCAGCCTGCCCAGATCACCTGGCACAGACCACCTACACCAAGGCCACTTCTACATGAGGCCACTTTTTGTAGACGAGGAGAGAGAGAGAGATTCTGTCTAAATTTATATAAACAAACATGGAAAGTCAAACAAAATGTAAAGACAGAAGAATAGCTCACAAATGCAGGAACAGGAAAAATCCCAGGGAGAAAACCCTTAAGGAAATAGACAAGTAATTTGCCTGATAAAGAATTCAAAGACATGATCATAAGGATGCTCACCAAACTTGACAGAAAAACAGAGGAACGCAGGGAAAGCTTCAACAAAGATTTAGAAAGTATAGTAAAGAACCAAGCAGACCTGAAGAATATAATAACTGAAATTAAAAAAAAAAAAAAACATTGTAAGGAATCAACAGCAGATTAGCTAACATAGAAGAATGAATCAGTGACCCGGAAAAAGACTAGTGGAAATAAACCAATCAGAACGGCAAAAAGGAAAAATAATTGAAGGATGAGGATAGAGTAAGAGACCTCTGAGATAACAAAGTGTTCAAACATTTGCATTATAGGGGTCCCAGAAGGAGAAGAAAGGAACAGAAACTTTATTTAAGGCAATAATGGCTGAAAACTTTCCTAACCTGATCCAGGTTAGGAAGCACAGGGAGTTCCAAAAAAGCAGTACCCAAATTGACCCACTTGAATACATACTGTAATTAAAGTGCCAAAAGAGACAATCTTGATAATAAACTACATACAAAGGAAATCCCACAAGGATATCAGGTGAACTCTCAGCAGCAACTTCATAGGCCAGAGGGAGTGGCAAGACATCTTTAAAATACTAAAAGAAACAACCCTACAACCTAGAACAGTGATGGCGAACCTATGACATGAACTCATTTTTTTGGTTGATTTTTCTTTGTTAAATGGCATTTAAATATATAAAATAAATATCAAATATATAAATCTTTGTTTTACTATGGTTGCAAATATCAAAAAATTTCTATATGGGACACGGCACCAGAGTTAAGTTTGGGTTTTTCAAAACGCTGACACGCCAAGCTCAAAAGGTTCGCCATCACTGACCTAGAATAATTTACCCAGCCAAGATTATCATAGAGTTTCCCAGATAAGCAAAACTAAAAGAGTTCATCACCATTAAGCCAGTTTTATAAGAAATGTGGAAGAATTTTCTTTAAGCAGAAATGGCCATAAACAGGAATACAATAAGAGGAGAAAGATAAAAATCTCACAGAAAAAGCCAAATATTTAATAAAAACAGCAAGTCAGACATTTTAAAAGCTACTACAAGGTAAAAAAGAAAAAAGCTTCTAACTCAATTCAAACTAAAATAAGTAGGAGATAGACAACACAAAAAGATCTAAAACATGACATCACTAACAAAGTGTAGAGGGGGAGTAAAAATGTAGTCATTATAGACTATAGTCAAATTTAAACACCTATCAGCTTAAATAGACTGATATATATATCAAGTAATATATATATATATACCAAATAATACATGTTCACACCAAAACCCAAAAATCTATAAAAAGTATACAAAAAACAAAGAGTAAAAGCCAAATGAAACACTAAAGAAAACCAGCAAACCACAAGGGAAGAGAAAAGAAGAAAGGAGCAGAGGAGAATAAAATCAATTAACAAAATGGCAGTAAGTACACAGTTATTAATAATTACTTTACATGTGAATGAATGAAATTATCCAATGAAAAGACACAGGGTGGCTGAATGGATTAAAACCCATGACCCATCTATATGCTGCTTACAAGAGACTCCCTTCAAATCGAAAGCCACATACAGACTGAAAGTAAAGAGATGGAAAAAGATATTTCATGCAAATAGAAATGAAAAGAAAGCTGGAAAAAAAGAGAAGAAATCTGAGATAGCAATACTCATATCATACAAAATCGACTTTAAAACAAAAATATGTTTTAAAAAACACAAAGAAGGACATCACATAATTATAAAGGGGTCAATTCAAGAAGGTGATATAACAATCACAGATATTTATGCACCCAACACAGGAGTATCTAAATATATAAAGCAATATTATTAATAGACACAAAGGGAGAAACCCACAATGATACAATAAGAACGAGGAATTTTAATACCCCTTTCACATCAATGAATACATAGATATATCTCCATAATGAGCAGAAAATTAATAAGGAAATAATACCTTAAATGTCACATTAGATCAGATCCATTTAATAAACATCCATAGAACATTTCACCCCCAAACTGCAGAATATATATTTCTCTCCAAGTGCACATAGAACATTCTCCATATGAGGTCACAAAGCAAGCCTCAATAAAATCAAGATAGATTGAAATCATATCAAGCATCTTTTCCAACCACCATAAAATGAAACTAGAAATCAACTACAGAAAAGAAAAGAAAAACCCACAAATGTGTGGAGACCAAACAACATATTACTAAACAACCAATGGATCAAAGAAGAAATTTTTAAAAAATCTTGAAATAAAAATGAATGCACAACTTTTCAAGATTTATGGGAAGTAGCAAAAAGAGTTGTAAGAGGGAACTCTTTACAGGTCTACCTCAAGAAACAAGAAAATTTCCAAATAAATACTATAACTATACCTAAAGGAACTAGAAAAACAACAACAAAGTAAACAGAAGGAAGAAATAGTTGAGATCAGAGCAGAAATAAATGAAAGAGAAATTAAGAAAACAATAGGAAAGATCTATAAAACTAAGAGCTATTTCTTTAAAAAGATAAATAAAATTGACAAATCTTTGGTCAAACTCATCAAGAAAAAAAAAGAAAGAACCAAGTAAATAAAATCATAAATGAAAGAGAAGTAACAACCAACACCATAGTAGTACA